ACACACCCACCCCACACACACGCACAGCACACATCAGCGCTCTCTCTCTCTCTCTCTCTCTCTCTCCAAATAGCCCTCCCTCGAAGGCCCCAGCCTGAGAGGCTGACGCACTGCAGGTTCATTTACACTCAGTCCATTGTTCGTTGGCGGCAGAAGTGTACACAACAGGACTGGATCTGGTCGTAATAACGACAGCTTTTCGGATAAGTTGACGTGCAGAGTCACACTAGAGGCTTTCGTACGTGTATCTGCGAGTTATTACGGCCAAATTCAGTTCTGGGAGTTATTACGGCCACATTCAGTTGGGATGATGGTGCTGATAGAAGCATACCGTTATCCATACTGTATTCCACACACAGGGCGAGGGGAAACGCTAAGGGAAAGCCGTTTAGCTACCTTCTTCCCCCGAACATAACGTTCCATCGTCATGAACGTATAGCAACCCTATTCCGGTTCAAATCTAGGCTACCAGAGTGGCCCGGGTCCACGCCCGGCCGGGCCAAAAAGAAATTAAAAATTAAACAAATAAAAAATATTTGACCCGGGCGGTCCGGCTGGTAGCCTAGGTCCAAATACAGTCATGACGTTGGGGCATTGTGTTTGGAGAATAACTTTCTTCACCCGAACATAACTCGTCATCATGAACGTATACAAACCATCTTCCGGTCCAAACACATTGGGGCATTCTGTTCGGGAAAAGAAGAAAATCCACTCAAGAGATGGTCCGAGTGTATTACGCACATCTGAAAACATGCGCGATTTCTTTTTTTTTTTTTTCAAGAAAACATGTCTTTTTTTGATTACGCTAACATGTCTGGAAAAAAAAATCCGTCTGCCTTTTTTTTTCTTTTTTACGAAAACACGTCTGGTGGTTTGCTCCAGCAAATCCGTATCCAATCTCTTAAAAAAAACATCCGTCTGTCTTTTTCTTCTTTTTTAACGGAGACATGTCTGGTTGTTTTACTTCAGCACATCCGAATCCAATCTCTTCAACTTGCTTTTCTTTTTTCCTTTTTTCCGTTTTTTTTTTTGTCTTTTTGGAAAATTTTCCGATATAAAGCAGAAAATCGAATCCTTTCAACTCTTTCGACTCTTGCACTTTTGAGCTGTACAAATTTCCAAGCGTTTTTTTTCGGATTATCAATTTTCTGTTTTTTAAATCCTCTTATCCAATCTCATAAATTTGGTTTTTCAAACTTCTTTTTTTAAATCCCTTTTCAAGGATTCTTTATCCTCTTATCCAATCTCATAAATTTGGTTTTTCAAACTTTTTCTTTTTTTAAATCCCTTTTCAAGAATTCTTTATCCTCTTATCCAATCTCATAAATTTGGTTTTTCAAACTTTTTCTTTTTTAACTCCCTATTCAAGAATTCTTTAGAATTCCAAGATAAAAATTCCCGCGGAGCCAAACTCCTCCAACACACCACACTTCGATTTCTTCGATAATTTCTTTTTGGATTATTTTATGATTTCTAATTTCGTTCTTATAGACGCTTGCTTGCGCCCCGATTTCGAATTTCGATCTTCTAAACGCTTGCTTGCGCCCCGAAGTACTTCCCACCTGGCCCCGATTTCGGTTGCCAGTAATAATACTGGGTAGGTTGCCTACTGGGAAGTCTCCCTCCGGCGCTCCAATGACAGTACCCACCTGGGTCGACACCCGGCCTCTATAACAATCTGGGCTTTGAATTAAAAATAAAATTAAAAATTAAAAAAAAAGTACTCCCCAACGCCAGGTCGGGACCTCAGGAGCAAGGTCCCGTTAACGAAGAGGCCTGGATTTAAGGCCTGCCTGGAATCCCACTGGTCGTGTTTGTCAAAAAATCCATAAAATCTCTATTGATCTTTTTTTTTTTTTTTTTTTTTTTTTTTGCATCTATGCTGAAAACACATCAAGATTCAGGCGCCGAATCCAATCCTCTTTGCTATTGGAACCCCAGCCCGGGGATTTCAATCTGCGCATCTTTGGGGAGCTTTCAAAATCTTCGGATTTGGGACTCTTTCCGCCAGCCCACAGATTTTTTTTTCCTTATTTCCTTTTTCAGAATTTCCTTTTTCAGAAAAGCCGACCGCATCGAGATATTATCAGGGAACAGACCAGGCCCAAATTTCATTTCATCTAATTCCATCTGGGTTCGATCTATTTTTTTTTCTTTTTTTTTTTTTTCAGGTACTGTCACTTCAAAAACAAAATTGATCTTGATGTGTCGGGTTGTCACTTCAACAACAAAAAATACAAAAATTCTTTGTATTATTGCCCCTCAGTATACCCCTCACATATATGTGCTGCCTTCACCTCACACATCTTTTTTCAGAATTCCACATGAGCAAGGGCACATATCTGCGCTGCCTCCACAGCCATTTACAGAGTGACACGTGGCCTTGCTACAATTACCTTCCAGATGCAATCAGTAAAAACTACGGGCGTCGCCGCACGGGACCGAGTGCATCTTCCTGCAGAAAATGGCCAGGTTCATCGGTTTGCTATAAATAGTAACGAGTGTACTTTGCCACCTTTGGTGGGCAGATGCACTCGTTTCGCTTTCGTTTCGCGTGCCGTGTGGCGAGGCCCTATATCCACAGGGAAGATGGTAGAAAGACCACAGCCCTGCAGGGTTTGCCCCCCGGCGGCGGGGGGGGGTCGGGGCGGCACTAAACGCGATGGACAAATTGACATCGTAGAACCTCTCATCAGGCTGGACAAAAAAAAAGAAAAAAAAAATCCGTCGTCATTCGGGGTTTAACGAACAAACAAGAAAGCAAAAAAAAAAAAAAAACTCCTCATCCGCAGGCAAATCTCGATCATACCTTTAATATGTTCAACCACCTCTACCCTCTCTCTCTCAATCCTCCCTTCCTTTGACGTTCTGATTAACATGCGCAGGCAAAAATACGTACCGGAAACTATATATATTTTTTTCAATTAATGTTCCGTTGACGTCCAATGAACGTTCAATTTACTTTTTCAATTACTTTCAATTGTTGAATCATCGAATTGACTGATGTTCCAATTAGGTAGGTAGTCTGAGGTGAAATTGAGAGAAGAATATACCTTTCAAAAAAAAAAAAAAAAAAAAAGTATACAATTGATGTTCTGATCCATTTCCCAACTAATATCCATCGGATGTTCGAATTAAAGAAATCGAATTACAAAAAAAAAAAAATGTTATAAATTAATGAATTCGAATTAAAGAAATCGAAATAAAGTGATCCAATTAATGTTTTCCAATTAATGTTCACCTTCATGTGTTGATTTCCAATTAATTAGTGTGTCAATTACTACTACATTGGGAGAGGTAATTAATTAATGATTATTAAATCTTCGGTTGATTTCTAATCAAGACTCGCTAATTACTGCGGCAGATTTGGCGGGAAAAAAAACTCGCTAATTACTGCGGCAGATTTGGTGTGAAATTTGGCGCGAAATTAAGCCCTAATTAAAAGCCCAATCGAAATCCATCCGATTAGCAGCGGCCCAAATTCACCAAGACTGAGGGGTTCACACGTCAAAAAAAAGAAAAAAGGACAAGAAAGTGAAGTGAAAAGTTAATCTGCTAAATGACGCGGCAAGAATCTCCGACCAAAAAAAAAAAAAAAAAAAAAAAAAAATGCTGCCACCGAATAAACACTGCGTAATAAAAATCAAATAAGTAAACACCGCGTAAAACGAAAATCAGCGGCTTTCTGGGCGTGTACCACGGCGTGACAGAAAGCTGCTGACGTGTACCACTGACTCACAGAAAACTGCTGACGTATACTAACCGCTTTTCGGTCATTATCTCTGTATCTAGACGGAAAGCTGCCCCAAAACACACATATAACGACCATACATATTCGAAGGTGAAGACGGTAGTAGGAAGTCCGAAAAGCTGCTGACGTGTACCACTGACTCACAGCAAACTGCTGACGTGTACTACCGCTTTTCGGTCATTATCTCTGTATTTGGACTGGAAGTTGCCCCAAATACGCCTATAATGACCCATCCATATTCGAAGGTGAAGACGGTAGTAGGAAGTCAGAAAAAGAGCTGCTGACGTGTACCACTGACTCACAGAAAAAAAAAACTGCTGACGTGTATCTCTATCTAAACAGAAAGTCGCCCAAGAAACCGCTCTACTCTATAACGACCATACATTCTATTCAGAGGGGAAAGACGATAGGGAGAGGGAGAGAGCCGCTGACGTGTACCATCCAGCCACTCACGTTCAGACAATACAATTTTTTATTTTTCATTTTTTTTGGGGGGGGACCACCATTTCTTAATCTATGCCTGTCATCCTTGCGCAGGGGCCATACAATATTTGTGTATTTTTTTTTCTATTTATTTAAAAAAGGCTGTCCCGAAGGACTATTAATTTCTTTTCTTTTGAGAGTTCTCAAAGTGCCACAACACTTCCAGCGGGGAAAAGGGGGGACAACAGAACGTGATTTCAAAATTCAATTGAAAAAGAACCAATTTATTTTTTTATAATTTAATTAATTAATCGATATCTTCTTCGAGTCCTGAACGTCCAACGAACTCCAAACTAGCCATCGACTTTCTGCTCCTTCGACTACTCCCTTCACCCGCGAATACAACGCCCGGCCACTATAACTCTATCTGGCGCAACTCGCAGTTCAGATACAGAGCTGATGACCGGCCGTTCTATTCGCGG